GCTCGGTTCATAATGACTTTGTTAACTTTATCCTACTGTGTTTGAATAGTTCACATTCAAGAATCTGATCAATCCTCAATATAATTCAACTACCATTTTTTTATGTCGTTAATGTGTGAATCACTTTGAATGGTTTTTCTTTTTCATACTTCAAATGTTATGTTAATGTTTCGTTTAATAATTTTTCAATGTAATAACATCTATGAATCGGTATACATTTAAAACAAAGTGATTATGAAGCATTTCTAAGTTAATTTAGTTCAAAGGAAAGTTGGATAGTGGCTAACAGTGGAATTTAGGAACCGTGTTACGTCGAATTCGGGACTCGCTAGTTGGATGTACCTGTATCCCAGAGTTGACTCTTATGTTAAAACCCAGTAATGTTCGTTTTGAACGCCATAGCGTTATCCAGTTATTACTGAGTTCTGATAAAAACTTGCTCGCGCAATGGCGTGAAGTTTAAATTCGCTTAGTATTATTTACTTGAATCTTCCAAATGATGTTTAGGATTGCAATTGATCAGTCTCTTATTAGCATATGTGCATCCTGTTCGTATTGCCTCGATTTAGCCTTAGATCCATGTTTGCTAATGAAGCTTGTGATCTAAGCAATATCGAGGCAGTCCGTACAGGATACACATATGCCAATACAAGAATGGTAAATTGCAGTCCTAAATAACAATAAGAAGATACAAGTAAACAACATCAAGTGAATTTTCATACAAAGTACAAGCCTTTACTGATTTCAAAAATGGGTTAGTCCGGTATTAGGAAAACCATAGTAACCTAACTGAAATACACACGCACGCACGCACACAACAAAACAATGTTACCGTGTGATCAACTAATTCAAATCAAAACATGGTAACGTGATATAAATCAAATTCACTTGCCAATTTCAAATAAATCCATGCTAACATAGAAAACAAACTGGTCCAACACACAGCGACATCATGACAATAACCATAGTTATCAACTATCTGACAGACTCAAATCATAAAACTCTGAAAAGTATCAGAATACAAAATCAATTTACCTAAATCATAAACTTTTCAATCATTTCCAAAATAATAAAACTAATAGCTTATCATTGGTAATGCAGTAATTACTTTTGGTGAAATCCCCCCTTTACAGCATATAGTTACAATCTTTAATATTATAATGATTGATATTTCCTTAATGTATAATGAATTACTCATGTCAAGTATTGTGCTTAACAAACAACAGCTTTTTTAGGAAATCTAATGATGCTTTATCATGTACATAATAAATGAAAAGTTTGCATTGTTTCGATGAAACCATTTGAGCAAATTACGACACATGTAAATACATCAGATGATGATGATAACTTGTACCAAGTTGATATCACACTTGATTATATTTCGATGGAGATTATACAACAAACGATTAGTTCAATGATGATTAGAATAGAATCTCAATTGTGCCACTTCATATTGTGTGAAGATTTCTTTTTCGGATTTTTCATCATATCATTATGTACAATGTTCATGTGAAATGATGCATGAGAATATCTTGTTTAAACATTTCACATTGAAAACTTTATCAGTATGAGGTTGTGGAGACTAATAAGTTTTTGATTGAGATCACGAATCGATTGATGTTAGATAAACATTGAAAACCTGAAAGCACTGGATGGCTGTTTTTCGTGGATTGGTTGAGGTTAGACATTAACACTGTTGGGTGACGACTCAGTGGTTTTAGAGGTTAAGAGTTAGCGAGAGAGAGAGGTCGCGGGTGCACACTGCTGAAGGGTCACGTAATAGGATGAAACGGCCGTTCAGTGATTCTAGGTTTTCATTAGTGATCAGACATCAGTCGATTCATGATCTCAACTGGAAACTTTGCCGACAACCATAGCCTGATCCTCACCCTGTCACTTTTCAATTTTGTATCAAGACTATAATAGCACACAGTTCTTCAACGTTCGAAATGTCATCAATAAAATGTTAAATTTCATTCAGTTTTTAAATAGGATGTTATACTACATTCATTTATATAAATAACTGGACTGACGTTAGACAGTCCACTTGTTACATGCTCTATCAATCTCTACCTCTTTCATACATCTCCCCAATTCTATTTCACAGTACCTGAACAACAGTGGTTCAACAGTGTATGACATCCTGAAGACTGGTACGAAATTTCACTCTAGTATGATCAAAGGTTTAAATGTAGCGAAAAGCTGACAAATCAAACAGGTTAAACTTGTAGATATGTCGAATAAATGCAGAGATTTTTGGTAACATGCAACATTCAATATGTTTGCTCAAAAACTTATCAAGTCAATAATTTTCATAATTCATTTGCATATACAGAGAATATTCTCAGACAGTTTCGACTCATTCACATAACAGCTTTGATGGAGAAGGCCTGAGATAATGTTCAGCTTAAGTATCAGTTAAAATACAATGGTGATCATTGAGCTATCAATAGCTACTTGTAACTGTTCAACATGGGATTTTCTCGACTCCATCATGAACTTAACCAAGGCTATCACCTTGAGTTGACATTGCTGAAAGTCCGACATTACTGAGTTATTTCGTTCTAACTTTAGAATTTAACAATACGTACTAATAACCTGCCTATCGGTTAAAGTGAACGACGATTCGGTTGGAGAAAATCTTAGACTTCAGTAAATTTGTTACTGTAATAGTTCTTCTACGAGATATACAGGCAAGTTAGAAGAGGAAGACTAGGCTGAAGAATCCTGCACAATAATTAGGAGTTACAATTATGTCCAGAAACACACTCAGTTCAGTGTGAATTCTAACTAATGACCAACCACTAACCAGCAAGTCACTCAATCACTTCACACCGCAACTGCCACCTCCGAGCAAAGAACTCTCTTCAAGTACCATCATAGGTATTGGTTATTTGAGCATATTACAAATAACTATTGTATATCCACTATTTATTAATGGTCTAATACTTTTACTTATGAAGAAATATGTCGATATTGCCTGAGTAATAATGACAAGTGCAATACAAATAAATGACTTTACATATATCATTTAAATTTACAAGTGTCATATCATATTAGTTGCTGTCAATCACTGCCCCACAACTATGACAGTACATTAAACATATAAACATTAATCGATTATTCATATTTCCCATTTACCCTTATTTAGTCAGTAATTTCATTCCATGTACTACTGTGGTGTGTGCTACTTATATTGACATAAGTAGTATATGATGTCTATCGTGAACAGAAGATCTGAAAGCAAACAGATAAGAGGAATGAACAGTAAAGAATGGAAACAAAATGCAATTTGTATGAAAATGCAAGAATAATGAAGTCTGAGTCATTTTAAGACAACTGGTGAACATTTTGCAAATTAATCATTTACTTTATGATTGTCCTGTGAGTGTGTGTTAAATGCGTTCGATTGTCTCCACCCATGTTCTGTTCACCGCACTACGTCTAGAAACGAAGTTAAGGCATTGACATGAAAACACCGTTTATACAACAGTCATTCTTTTGTACTACTAAACTGACATACATCATAATTGTATCATTTTTCAAATGAGCAATGTTTAATTAGTTTTGAATGTATTCACAATCCTACTTGAATAATTCTCTTCAGTGTATAATAAATGATAAAACTAAAGAACTGTGGGTTTTGTCACATCAGTAAAACAATGACTGTTATATATTTTCAATAAAAGACTTTTCACTCGTAAATGTTTGGTTGTGAACAAGATGAATCACATTGCTGTTTAGAGTAAGCAGCTGGTTAACATTCAACGGTCGTCAAAAAGATACTGGATGGATACATCTCGGTTTCAGTGAACGACCCTGAGCTATATTATCCAAGGTCTCTAGACACTTCGACCCGAATTACGTAGTTTGAATTTAACAACATGGCTCAGAACGATGGTCAATTTCTTGACTCAGCCGCCTCGAACTTTATTTCAGCATACTCCTAAACCAGAAGAAATCGCCTGTTAAGGTATGTGTGATTAGGTACACGTGATATATGCTCTAACCACTACACCTTGTGACGAAAACTGACCCCATCAGCCGATTTGCCACGTTTGTCAAGTACCACATACCAAACATTAAACTCGCCCACTCGCTAGTTCCACTAAACTCAAGTAATACTTCGAAAACAAATGCAGTACGAGAACCTATGTGAATCCACCTCTGTCCAAGCTTATGAGCTGATCATCAGTTTACTGACTGCTTCAATTATAAACTACATTTCCCTGTGTATTCTGATTTCACGGTATCATTTTCAATCGACTTGTGGATTCATCTACTATAAAAAATTAGTCGTCGTTAAACATCCAATGAATCACATCAAAATACATCAGAGAGAAAGGATGCAGTTCTAATACCCATTTTGAAGTGAATCTATCCGACTTTCGAAAAATACAAAATGGATGGAGTCAGATTGAAAGTTCATGAAGTCTAGGTCCATTTTCTATCAATAATCTTCAGTAACAAATATCTAAAAACGAACTCATATTACCACAGATACTATGCTGCAAATCAGTGACAGATATTATTATGGTGGTATTCGTCCCGAATTTTTCTCAGTGTAGAAACCTAAATATTCACATCACTTAATTGCCAAATAAAACTCATTCATATACATTCTAGTCTTTAATCCACGGATCACTGTATCAGTGTTTAAGGTGTTCTAGTCTCAACTAAAAAGTCACAGGTTCAAACCCCACTGTACTTACATCAGTTTGGACATGAAATTTGAATCTTCCACGATTATTGAAAAACAAATAACAAATGGACAGTTATATTTGAAGTGAAAACAAAACTCAAGTTAATAGAAAAAAAAACATTCAAAGGTTTCATTAAAACCATCACTTCCATGAAGTAATAAGCAACATCACATCAGAACTGTTCTATATTAAAAGTACAAAGATCCAGAATAGATAATTGAATAAAAATCAGAATGTATGTAAACACTGTTTTTAAGGGAAAAATATCTTAGGTTGATGAATATATCATGACTATTATCAATTCTCTGGACTTGTAACATGTCCGAGAAATATTGGCAAAGAATTATTCCAAATAATTGAAATGAAGAATGGATGATCAACACGAAATTCCTCATCAGCGAATTCAGGTAAAGGCGCAGCAAGTTGAACAACTTCTGCAGAAGATGCTGCAGCTGCCACCACACCTTGCTCATCCACCTATGAACAAAAATCAATAGAACTTATATTAACAATTTTTAAGTGGAAGAAACGGTGGAAATAATTACAATATTTCATGTTACATCAAATCACAGATTTACTCATTATCATTTTGTCTGAAGCATTCATCAACGTGAACAATTTAAGAGGGATTAGTCAACTCAGATTTAATTATGTTGAGTCACCTTGTCTCCAACGTTAACTAAACTCTGTGAACCAATGTGGTTAGAAATCGTAGTGCGTCGTGATTGATTCTGGGTAAATAGAAATATGTGTAACATAATTGGAAATCAAAAGTCAATAACGTAAGTCAATAAACTCACGGCTCTAATGCGTCATTCAATCATGGAACACAAAAACGCTTATTGAAATATCAAGTTCATTGGACTACTGATAATACTGCAACTAAGTCCACAAAACTTCATCACCTCTAACAGATAAACAACATGACATTGGTTACAATTCGCTGATCCGTCAATTTAAATATTCAGCTCATACAGGAAATCAGTTGTAGCACAAATAGCTCAGTGGTAACATCTTCAAAAGTGACAAGGGTTGATGTGAATTCGATTTTCACAGAGGGCGACAGTTCCCCCAACGTTCCAGTTTCAATCTTACAGTAACAAACTATCACTGAACCTAGGTCAATAGTTTCGTAACAACCACCTCCAAACACTTTCAACACATCACAGTGCACTGCAATGCCAAGCCACTTAAACTAGCGGTCACATTGCAACTTCCTCAATAGAATTTCACCACAGTTAAAGACAAAATCAATCACTCTGTCATCAGTTACTGAAAACACTTAATATGAAAACACTTTTGTGAATAAAACTAATCACAATGAGTGGTGAAATCTATCTCAAATATCACTAAGAAATAAAACCTGATTACTGCTCTAATAACCATAAGGTAACCATAACGAATTGGAATGAACAACAAACTTTCCTTTATAAAATAGTCTTTCGTGAGTGACGAAAATATCAGTATCACACTGATATGTGAAGTATTTTCAAGAGACTGACAAAAGCCTGTGGAAAAGCGACCGATGTAATTGAAAATAACATGCCTTCAGGTGGTTACATGGATTTTCGTAGACATGTTAATGGATGTGATTTAAAATCCTTACACAAATCTATTACAAGTGTTGGTTCTCGAACATTCTGCTCAACATAACTATTCCACACGGCTACCAGAATTTACCACTCAAACATAACAACATTCTGTGACTCTTCGTGGATTGCCATCGCTAACACCAAGAGACGAATAGAGTACGTTAATGTTACGCTGCTGCTAGTCGTGGTCTTTTGACAAACTAAACAGATCGTCTTTCCATAAGTAACACTATCCTGAAATACCAATGTCACTCATGACTCCTCAGATTGTATTATATTTAAAGTTATGTCATGACTAAGAGGTTGAGTGAGAAATCAAGAAACATTATCTGAATGAAGTCCATCCTTGTCATGCACGTTAGTGGTGTTAAGCTGACATTCAATGTTTCGATTAAGTCTTACGCATCAAACTAGCAGATATGGTTCCGAAGAAATTGCAGAACGCATTACTCGCAAGTATGAGTTGCTGTATAAACAAGTAGGCAGAAATCAAATCTCAACCATACTGGCTACAACCAACCAGCGCTTCAAGTTTATTTCACAATATTAACAGGTAAATGCAGTCTGACAACGAAGTTTGTTGAGAAACACAAGATTTATACGACTCACTTCAAGAATAGCCTTATGGAGTATATCTCGTATACATAAATTACTTGATTCAGACATGTTTGTAAAGTTAGCTGATCCTGGACAAAAAGCCTCTCTCATTCCCATTTTCTGTAGATAACCTACAAGGCTTATAGCACTGCCTTCCTTCAGTTTGAACTTTGGTAAGTACAAATGTATACTGGTATCCGTAAAGTTAGAAGAAAGAATTGATGAAAATTCATCATCTCTATGTAACGCATCTAGTAACTCAGATAATCCATCATTTGTGTTTGGAAGAATGACCAATAATGAGAATCTAAAACACGAAAAGGTTGGAAAAGGGATAATACAAAATAGAATATTGAGCTATAAATGAACAATCAATAATATCTATACACTTCATGTCTGAATCAACTTCTACTGAGTAAACATTACATGGAGCTAAATTGCAATAGTCTTGATTCTTAGATTTCGTTTACCGAATAATGAATCCAAATATAATCTGCCTACCATGAATTGTATTCATATGCATTTATCACTCTACGCTATTGAAATACTGTTTATTCATCAAATTCTTTATAAAACTTCTACACTTCGTATGTTTTTCTCAAGATATCTGAAGCTTAATACTTAAATGACGATACCTGGTTAGGCAAAATAATACTGCACCTGAACATACCGAAAAGAGAATTGATATAAAAATGATGTTAAGTAGAATGACACTGTATATTTAACTATCAATCTGACTAAAGAGAAGCAGAAATGTCGACTCATTTAATCAGTGGAGTACCAATAAGTGTCATAGATACCTGACGTTCTGATATTAGCAAGCTGACTTCACTAAAAACTAACCGTATCCGAGTCAAGTTCAGAATACCTATTGAAATTCCCTTGTAGGTTTGCGAAGATCTTCAGAGGTTCCCAATTATAATTTTGAATCATATAGGTTCACCGTTCGTAGACAATATTTTGGTAGTTCACGAATCATATTGGTGTTTGGTCGTTTATCTCTATACTAAAGTCATAATACAAAAAAATACAGTTTGTATTACTTAGTCCTTCGTTTTCAGTTGGTCTCCAACAAAACGTTTTAGCGAATACGTGTTTCACAAAAACCTTAACACGAAATTTTGCAAATCATTAGAATAAACCAAACTTAAAATATGATGTCAGATTCTGTAAACGAATGTTGCTTTCTAAAGTAAAGAAATTAGTTGTTGAGAGCTTGACAGTCAATTGTGATTGAAAAAGTATATATTAACGTGTTCAAAATGCAAAAGTAAACTACGCTTAAACAGACATAGGACAGTGAAATTACTTTTAAGTCATGTTGCCTCAGCTTTTGACTAATGACCTTAAATGTACAAAAAATCACAAACACTAAGTTCTTATCTCTCAGATGACAGAAATTAGCAATCACTGACTTTAGAAATCTATGTGTATTTGTTGTAGGCTTTTGCTACATCACCCAGATTGTAGCCGAGATCGTGACTCATTATTAGGCCATGTGTTGTAATACAATAAATAAGTAAAAAGCCTGAACAAAGCTTTCTAACAACTACGGCCAAAAGATCTAATGGTTGTACCCAGTCATTCACGGTGATTTAGGAAAAACCACACCTTGAATAGTTATAACTCATAAACCAGTCCTTGGGCTACTAGTACAAAGATCACCAAAAATAAGCTTGTTACGTTTGTCCTTAAACTCGTTTAAAATAGGTGTTCTATAAATGCTCCAAAATACACATACTTACCTAGGATCTTTAAATGGTATCTTAATAGCACGTGATTTCAAATGTGGTAAACTGACGGTTTCAAATGAGGAATTCATATACATTAACTTTACGTTCATCGTTGATCCGTCAAGTTTAAAGAAATCGCTTTCGTGTGAACTTCCTTGAAGAAAGGGTAGATTCCACAGACCTAGAAGACAAAACTATTTATGGAATTACTGATAATTACAGAAATTATAAACAATGACGAACTCAAATTTTAAAGGACATTCATAAGTATCATAGGTTGAATATATAAAATTACCTTCAAAGTATGTAGTGGTTATTACTAAAACTGATGTGTCGGTTGACAGCGATCCAGGTGAAAAAAGTTCACGAATTTTTCCTTTGGTCAGTTCACCGACCCAGTGGTTTATTCGTTTTCCAGCACCTTCCGGATCCGTCTGAAATGTCACCTACACAAACGATTAGTATGTTAAGATATAAACTCACAGATTCTGTTTGTGCGTTGTAATAACTCTTAAGAGTATTTTCGTAATCTTTTTTAACATCCACATCTTCTGCTGTAAACAATCCATTCCCAAACATTATCTCAACACCTTCACCACGTTCTGCACAGTTAAACAGAAGTCCACTGATTCCATGGTGAATTGTATGGTGTTCCAAACAAGTAGATAAGTGCATCATTTTCATTATCTCCGTTTTTGTATTCATTTCACTGCCGGAAAGGATCATTCCCAGGGCAGTATATATATTAAAAGGAGAGAGAAAAGTATTCTCAAAATGACCTAAACATACCAATGAGCATTTTTGAAATACTGACTTACTCTGGTTTTCTTCCAACATTTCCCCATAAAGCTTTCCGCTGAAATTTGTAAGGGATTGTAATACATCCATTTGTTTGTAGTCTGTAAAAATAAAAACGGAAATAATTTGTTTCTATAGTGCTAGAACATTTAAGACGTACCAATATATTTATATTTAGAAAGAGATATTGATGATCTAAGTGGACTGTGTACAACAATTGAACGCAATTTCTATCGTAAACATGATTTTTCCCCATTGTTTCAGTATTATTAGCTATTTTTCCCTGATCTAATTACCTGGATGTCATCACAGTGAAATATTTGTCGCGGTATTTATGTTTATCTGACTCTTGCATCGATGAACTGTGCTGCTCTCAGACCGATATATACTAAACTTTATTCTTATGAATAATACACACCTGAAAGTCATGCTACTGAACTGAAGCTAAATACTCTAAACACGTTGATAAGAATGAATTACAGGACAGTTTATCGGCAAGACTATAATTTATGGACAAACCAAAGCATTTAAGGACAGAAAGCATTGCATTTTGGAGCAAAATTCATTTATCAATATAGTTAAATAGAACTTCAGAATTATATTTGATGTCAGTTTGAGACGAAAGCCCTTGTTTCAAGTCTCAACCCTTAAATTCCAATAATAATTCTTTATACTCATTTACAGACCCTTTTGACCCATAGTAAGTAGTTGGGTCGCCTCAAGGTTACTATCGTCGCTCAAGATTCGTCCACAAATGATAGTTTCACCTGTTTATCTTGCAAGTATACTTATAACCGAATGCCTGGAGCCATAATGAAACAAGAAGCAAGTGCAATGAAATCAATTGGTTCATACAAGCTCTTGATAAAAAGATTAAATATTAGACTACTGACTAGAATTGACAAAACTTAACTAATTATCAGAGTAGACACTGCATCAGGATATAAAACAAAGTACGTATAAGCAACATTACTAGGAAATTAAATCGATGTTTTTTTAGTGAGGTACTTCAAACAATTCATCTTCGACAAAATGAGATTTTTAGGGCACGCATTCTAAAACAAGCCATTTAAAGAGAGTTCTAACGATAAAGATAGATTTATTTAAGAACATTTTGAGGCAATGGAGAATATTATTCAGCTGAGAAACAAATCTCGTCTGGAAGTTTCATTTACAGTGAAATTATTTACTCTGAACCAGTACACAAATATTCCAAATTTCCCAAACATCAGAGACAGGTAGGGCCAACCTTAGGAACTTCAATAAAATGGAGAAGTACTATTAGGACCAGAAAACAAACCAGTACCTGATATACACAAACCCTGAACCAGAAGATTTGAAAACCAGCAACCTGTTAGTTTACCAGATGTCGCTACCTATATATGTTCTCGTCAAGGTTGTTTTCAATTTTCAACATAGTTGTTTTAAGTTTACACATAATAGTTATTTTTCTAGTCTCCATTTCTTGATTTTTAAAATCTGTTTTTATGTATACCAATTCTAATAAGATAGTTAATCTATCCATTGAACTATACTCCTCCAACCGAGTTCTAACAGTGTCTTTCGAAGTTAGTGTTGAGATAGGAGCGGTGTAGCTGTTGAATTAGTAGCTATAATGTTTACGAATGTCCACGTAGGTATTTTAGTAGAAAGATTATAAAAGTTAAGCTCAGATAGATGGCAAGATAGCAAAGGGTTTATTATTAAGTAACCTGGTGAAATACACGTTAACATGTAGTGACTCACGTTTATCACGAGAACACGACTGGTTTAATAAAAACAATTATTATTATAACCAACTGTACCAGCGTTTGTTTTAATGTGCTTTTGTTTAACTGTGCTAATTATGGCCATTTTGTGCTTCCATTACCTTCCATCATTGTTCCGCGGTTTTTGGTACTGTTCGTACGTACTCCTGTCTTCTGCTTCCACTTGTACCATTCCTTGGCACGATCTCGGTATTCGTTCAATACCACGAGATCGCCAACTAAATAAATCTGGTTACGTTCAACCTCCGCCTTCTGATTTACCTGGCACGTGTTTCTTGGTAGCGGTGTTCATAGTTAATCTCAACTCGACGCCACGCTACAAACAGTTAATAGACAGATAACTTAAAGAAATTAAGACGGATCAACAAAATTGACGCGGGATTAACTGAAATACCTTTTGTGTTTAGGAGTAGCAAAAGCTAAGAAAAATTTTTTGACTTAAGTGGATAACTACGTTTCTGTGTTTCACGAAACCCATTATTTTGATTTTATTACTTCCAGCCGTCATGTAAATAACCAACGACACCACTCTCTATTGACCAACGAATCAGTCATCACTACAAGTAACGGAAAGTCTGTGAATTCTCTTTTTTAAAAACATTGCACGCCGCCGATGTTTCCAAATCAGTCAAACGAATGTCAGTTGACTCACTATCTACCGAAAGTTCCGTATATATTGCCGTTATCGATAGTGTAACAAACGAGGGACAGCATCCAGTTAATTCAGCAACTCTGTTTTACAGAACATCAGCATTTTGATATTGTTTACTCGTATAGTTAACAAGTCTTCTGAAATATCCTCAGAAGAAATCCCGACAGAGTGCAGCTTGTCCTTCAGTAAATGTGAAATCCGTTGACGCCTTTACCTAGTGTATCCTTAGATGCATGGTGTTGAAAATATCACAGTAGTGAACTATCGCTAACATCTTTGTGACAATACACAACTGTCTCCGACATTTCTTGATAAGTGACTTTCAAGTACAACAATAGTACAATAGTAGCAATCATTGAGGGGTTGTTTGACCAATGGTTTACAAAAAGATTTTAGGCTCAAGAAGCGGAAACATGTGTAATATTGTGGGACATTTCAGCTCTCAATGGAGTCAGCTCTTCCACTACTTTATTATACGCCTGATCATCCACAAATTATACAACATATTAACCTTGATTTCCCAGAGAAACTTCATATTATCAGTATACCGTAATTTACTTAAGACAGCAGTCAGTTACGTAATCCCGACCAACTTTACTTTCGCATATTTATTACTCTATTTCTAGTCAGATATTGGAATCATAGAAAACTGAAGACTTAAACGGTCTGAAAAATACGGCGTTCATGTTCTAATCCTTCATGGAAACAGGTTAGTTCATTTATTTACTCCAACAATTTACGTGCATGATCGTTCATTGCACAGACAACAAAAGTAATTCAAACAACGTCTAACAATAGGGGAACATGCTTCGTCTTGGTGGACAGTATGTCTACATGAGGCCAACTAAAGAACACTAACCTAGTATATCATCTGATGGGCATGAATTTTGGGTTAAACAAAACAACACACTTAATCAAGTTTGGACGACATCGGGAAGTAATTAAAAATCAAACATGAGGATAATTTAATGATGGTAACTATGAGCAGGCCACAAGACAATAATAATACGATCGACTATAAATGAGTAGAGGAGTAGCGTAACATGTCAGATGAAACAGGAATACGGAAATATGGAACGTACGTATGTAAACACTTGCACACGTACAGGTGCATACACATATGAACGAAAAGTGAAGCCGTGCCTTATACAGTCAAAATTTTCTCTAGAAAAAAACAACGTACCATACATCTAAATGCGATGACGCAATACACCTGTTTAGTACTTGCAAGTAAACATAAATATGTTTGACAGAACGAGACTAGTTTTCTCTCCTAAGAACCAATGGATTTTTCATGCCTCTAGGTAACCCTCGTGCCATTGATAGAAGAAACCAGACAAGTAGTCAATAGGTCTTTATTTAGATCTTCACGCAGTCACAGTGGAGCTTGGGATTATTTGTTAAGACAAACAAAACTTCTCTACATTCAATATAAGATAATAGGAAATATAACGTCTATACAAAATTAGGAAGTGAATGAAAACGTGAACTATACTGTTTCGACATATGCTTAGTTGTTTGGGGTGAACTCTTAACCAACCAACCTAAGCTGTTACAGATTGACAAACACTTGGAATAGACAGTCAAAAAGCAACAGCGATCAAGGACTTCACACATCTTGCTTTGAGTCAACTACTACGTTGTTGTAATTAGTCTGTCATTACACAACAACAATAATAAAGCGATCAGCCGAAATTTGATCGGAGTGAGATAAAAAGACTTTCATTAAAAGAGCTTGAGAAATGTGAAACATGGCTGCTTGTGTCCTGGATGAAAGTTAATCCACAAAGCAGGGCAAAAGCTCTAAGAGGTAGACGGCGTTATAGAATATGCTGTACAGGGATTTTCAAAGCATACAATTTCTCTACGGCGATCGAGTAGTTTGAAAGCACCCCCCAAAATGTGTTCTTATTCTCAGCCAAAACTCTAGTTCTATCAAAGATGTGATACGCATTTAAAGTCATTAAGAAAAACGTGATCGTGCATAATCTGTGGCTATTTTGGCAAAAGAACAAACATACAAGAGCATGTGAAGCCGCTGCGCACATCATTCACCACATTTTGTTGGAACATCAAAAATGGAACGAACGAAGTCGATGTGTGATAGCACACAATCAAAATAATTTCTTTGATACTTCAAAATGGTTCAGATCGTAAAAGTTGCTTATTTTTTATGTAGATTAGATAAATTCAAGAATTGTCCAGAGAACTATCCAGTAGCCTACGGGCATTCCCGTCGCTTGCGGTCTCTGGAAATAGATACCGATAATTGGCGTGCGACTGGAAATTATCGAAGATCCAACCACCACTTATCGTTACCCCTTGTCATACATCCAAGACCTGACATCTATCTTAAAAGTTATGGCTGTCTTTTCGAAAATCGATTCTCTTAAGGCGAATAACCAAGCTTCCAAAAATGGCTTCCGTCAATTTGTCGGAACACCATGAAATTTTGTCGATTCTTTTTGGCAGAAACTTCTCAAGGAGATTTATCGATGACGTGCTCAAGAGTATCAAGTCCATGATTTCTTGTAGCCATGGAAGGGATAGGGGGGTTACGAATTTCTTTTGTACACATAAATTGGGGTAATATGTACGAATTCCAATGGCTTCAGCTATATACAAGAAATGGGAACGAACTCCGTTGGGAAATGATCATTTACACACTTATTACGTAATGATTTTTATGTTTCGTGATTACTATTTCTAGTCTATGTACCCACGTTTGACCCTCTGTTCCCAACGTTTAACTACTGATAAGACTTTTGTTATTCTATTTTATTATTCTTACCACTATTAGTACACCTGTCTTCCTACTATCTATTTGTATATCTACCTACTATGTGTAATAATAATAATAATAATTTATTCCCAAATAACAGTTTGTTACATGAGGCATGCCAGTTTACAAGCAAGATCAAATTGTTACAGATGATACATTATCCAATGTAGTAACTTACTCAGCTGGGTTGATAATTTAAAAGATATGAATGTAGATGGTTTTAGTCAGTATCACAGTTGGTGCGCCACATGAAAGTTGCGTTGAGAATGTATAACTGATGGTCAAAGATAGGTCCATTGAAGGTGGGAGCTTCTAGAAATCGCAACCTTATGTCCCTTTGGAATATCCATGGCTTTAAGGATGGTGCAGGATGAAGTCACCCGTTCCATATCTCAAGGGGGGTGGACGAGGGAACAAGTAAAAGAAAACACTAGAGGTAGAGTAGCCAATATTCATGAAGGAATGTTTAAGGTATGATTACTCAGTCTAATTTTCTTTTATTAGGGTATTTGTTAAGCAAGAGAATTTTAATAGGTCAAAGAGAATAAGTGTCAACAAGGTATGAGCGGACATACAACTGACAAATAGAGGGGGTTCAGAAAGGAGCTGAGAGTATGGGATTATGTGTGGTAATAAAATATAGTGCTAAAAACAGTTATTATGATATACAATTGACTATCTTCCTTTTTTCGAAGCTGTTGGAGCCCTTTTCATCTTTTTTGTATTATTATTTTTTTAATTTTTAGTTTTTTTTCAGTTTTTAGGTATTATAAGGTCTTGAGTAGGTTTCGTATATTATCGAATTGTCTAGTTTGCTTGTAATACGATTACTGGGTAGGAAGTGAAACCGATTCAACGTTCGTAACACGATATAATGAGGTATTTTGCATGATAAATCAGCATTAATACCTTAAGTTCGTGACATCCCACAAAACTATAAGGAGCCGTAATTAAACAAAATGTTCTGCCCTAGAGACATGGGTGAATTGAAGTTATCTTCCAACCGTCATGTTTGCTGGTGAGTAACGCCCCCTCCTTTTGTGATGTTAGGCTCTCTTACGTTTGTGGTAAGTATGAATACTGCTTTAATCAAAGCAGTAAGGTAACGGAATTTGACGGCTTTAATACAATCCACACCGATTCCTTCAGTTTGTTTAGTTCAGGCATATCACATAGTAGTGAGTTTAGGCTACAGTGAGCGTAAATAAGGCATCCTCCGCCTCGTCCATTCAATCTATCACTTCTATACAGGAAATAGTTATCAAGAGATATACTTCGGTCGGAAATATTACTGTTTGTCCATGTTTCAGATATCATTATAAGTGATGGTTGATACATGGATACAAACAGGGCTATATCCGACTTTTTGTTGCAAATCGATCGAGCGTTGATAAGACATATATTAAGCAAGTGGCCTACTAAGTTAAAATGGGTGAGGGTATCTCGGATAAAGTCGTCGTAACCCTCGCGAGTGTGAGATGAGTTTGAAGTGAGGGATTGAATTTTCTTCATTAGCTCGGTATTTTGATAGCTAGACTTCGTGGGAGATGTATCAAATGAGCTAGAGAAGTTGGTTGGGGGTTTACCCAGGAGGAAAGGGTGGGAGTGCACTCTGATGGAAACTGTACGGAGGAAACAAATCTATGGTTTGCATGTGGTTTGAAATAACTTGGGCTATATGCTTCGACAGAGGTGTCACTAGGGGTCTTATTCCAAAACAATCTTGTACAGGCCTACTGTGAAGTGTATGGTTATTTACAAAATAGTCTCGATGGTTAGACTCGTAGCCCCTGTTATGGCTGTTTACGTTAGCGTGAAAGGGGTCTGCTGCGCGTAACTGGAAGGAGTTGCGACTGTTATTATATATAGGAGCCTTTTTTGTGATGGGTTGGTACTAAAGGGTGTGAAGAGTTTTCTTTCCGAGAATAATTACAGTTGTTATCCTGGGGAATGTAGATAGGGTGTGGAGTGAGAAACCTATTATTACCATTCTTATTAATGGTTTTAGGCCTCAGGGGGTGATTTGGGTGGCCAGTTCTCTAGCAGTTTTCGTTACTCTGCGTGTAAGACGGCTTGTTACGCTGAAGTCCACCACCCATTTTCCAACTTAGTGGTGTTGAAGGCAAGTTATACGATAGCAGCGAGGAGAACCTGTTCACTGTTCTTGGGATACCTATAGAGCAGTTGGGTCCAATCTTACGTGTTTCCCTATTCGGTATCATGAGTTTTGTCTTCACACCCTTTATTATCAGAGCTGGAGTCCTTCGTTGTCTCTGTGAGATGAACTCAGGCTCTTTCAAGTCTACTTGTGGGGCACTGTTAGAAGGACAAATTTTCGAGTGTATAGGTTAAGTTGGATGTGTGTTGTCCCACGACTCACATTTTAGTACATTACTGAGCGAACAGCTGGGATTAGTCATGTCGTTATGGTTTTTGGTGTCAGTTGGGGTCCGTATCTCATCCAAAGGTTTCTGATCTGTAGACTCATCTAGATCAACAGAGTGATCAGCCGTATGTGGAGTGGTGTCATACTTATTGTTCGTGTGTTTCAAACTATTTTCTGTGTTGCAAACTGTCTCTGGCTGATTATTAACTGTAACACTCCCGTTCAATCCTATCGACTCACGTCTTCTTACATGACGTTGACAGGGCGTAAGGTCTGGAGTGACTTTTATATTTTTGTGTGGAATTGGTGAGCTAATATTTTTGCTCGAATCAACAAACGGCCTAGCATCGTCACAACAGCCAAACATAATCAAGAGGGGAAAGTTGATCTGTCTGACTTTTCTCTAAGGCGGATGACTTTGCAGTTAACGTTCGGCATACCACATGCTCTAAGGCAAATATCCCTTAACTTAGATGGGTGTGTGCGGTCGGGGAGGTTATACACAACTGCATTGTAGGAGGACATCACCCTTTTCGTCACTTCTTCAGCCACAAACTCCGAAATGCACTCAGCTTTAGTGAGTTGCTCAAGATTCCTGTCTGTATCGCGGCCCCATATATGAGTGAGGGGTGCTATTCGCTCATGTTTGCCGTTAATTTCGGATAGAGAGTTTTGTAGCAGTCGGATATCATTACTGTTTCTATCAGTATTTTGGTGTGTATGAGGTGGACCACTGGACTCTTTAGTTCTTGAAATTTTAGATTCAGGCTTTGGTAGAACATACTGTCTAGTAGACTGTACTGACTTTTCGATGCACGTCAGTATAGCGTCTTGTATGTCAACCAGTCTTACCGTTGGCATACTGCACGTAGAGATAGAGGGGCTGTGACATGGAAAATTTGGTGGTGATAGAGACTTTTGTGTACAATACACATATTGTTCAGTAGTTAAAGCTTCGACATTGTCAGGCACTGAGTCGTCAGTTATAGGGGTTACAGATTTGGACCTTTTATTTGGCTTAGACGTTGGTGAAATTTCTCTTCAACTGGAGTTATTGGTCATGATTTGAAGATGGGTGAGCATAGTGCTCGTTAAATAAAATATAATATCTGAGTATTAGTTGTTATTAAGTATTAACCTGGTTAATACTAGGATTAGAGACTATGAGTATATAATAAATTGCAGATCTATTTAAGACTTAAGTCCTCAATTGGTACAATACGAACTGGTAATTGTCCGTCGAATAAAAAAAGTTATTTTCTTATTTTTCGGGGTAAGATGTACCCGATGTACAGGATAGGATGATAATCACAGTATATTACACTCTACAAAAGAGCAAGTCGGAGAATTCCTAAACTACGTGAAAAATGTTACCACTTTCAAAGTTCGCGCCAGACTCATTCTATTTCATTGTGATTATTGACCCATATTGCCTTGATTGGTTTACATTTTTGTATAAATATTCATGTATATAAGAGTAGAGCCTGATGACTATCTAATTGAAAACAATTGTTCGCTTATATTTGTTGTTCTAATGACTATTTGACCGGAAGTTCAGATATAGAATTTCATCTCCAGCAACATCACCTTAACTGTAAAAACAAGATATTACTGCAAACTTTCTGAAATGTCGGATCAAAACCGTCTCCCTAAACTTTATTGCAGCATTAATATTCAAGGCATTCACCTTCTGCTAAAGAGACAATCAGCCTGGACTGCCAAGAACTCATCACAGCCAAGCTATTCAGGAAGTTTGGCGATCTGATGCTTTTTCAACGATTTTACATAACGGACGACCCGTATCTCATGGGATTCTTAACAGACCAACTCAATAGAAATCACAAATCTATGGATTCAAACGACAATAAAATAGTATTCTACAC